CGCTGAAGGATAGGGCATGGTCATTATTTTATTATCCAATGAATGCCAAATAGTTTGGCCTAGTATTCGGTGTATAGTGAATCCAAACCCAAATACTCTCATGCCCCAATCCTCTGCCTTCTCTCTGCATCCTGTTACTCCTAGAGCTGATTGAAGTCTTGTCATCAGAATGTTTTTTTGACCAACAATGGCTTTTTGACCAAAATAATTTTTTTTTGGTGTGGAAAATTTTCATTTGGGTTGAAGTTTTCCAATTGTTAGATGACAAAATGGAAATTGAGTATTTTGCGGTAAAAGTTTTCAATTCTCAGTAAAGTTTTTGGTGTCTGAACACTGAAAATTTTTATCAAAATTTTTTTTGATTAGTGAATTATTTTCCCTTTTTAATTTTGTGTTTGTCAACAAATTTGCATTGCAAATTTTGGAAAAAAACCACAAACTTTATGATTTTTTTGTGGAAAAATAACTTTTTTCTTTTTTTTTTTTTAACCAACTCTAGTTCCTCCCTCCTCACCTGCAGCTTCCCCCCTGAGACAGGAAGCAGTAATGGAAAAGTTCCTGTGTTCTAATGCCTTCTCTGCCACTGCCCTTCTCTGCATTCCTTTCCACTCCTCCAAGGCCTTGAGCAGTGATGCCATAAGCCTCTGCCGTGGCTGCCTGTGGTGGGCTGTATAAACTCTGCACTAACAGAGAAGGAGCTTGGGAAGCTCTGTGCGCTAAGGTAACCCTGCCAATCATGCATGGTAAGCAGGAAAGCTTTAAAAGGAGGAAGCTGCAGTCCGCAAGGGGGAAGCCCTGAGAAGGGGGCGGCTGGAGTAGCTCCTGAAACAGCAGGAAGAACCTTCACTCCAAAAACGCCCCCAGCTCTTCAAGGAGTCCAGTGAACTTCAGGGACAAACCCGATAGGTAAAGACTAAGGCAGCTATCTAGGCACCTCTGAAGTAAGATGGTGCCTCTGCCATGTCTGCTTTTCACTGATCTCAGAAAGGGCTTGTTTTGTGTTGAACCTTTGCTTTCCCCCTACCCATCAACCAAGCAGGGCCCACAAGGGCAGGACCCACTACAAGGACTAAGAGGGTACGGCTTGTACTGGAGTAACCCCATGGTGGTAACTGGGCATGGCAAGAGTCCAGAGCCCCACTAGGGAGATGCCCCAGAAAGACTCATTTTACACTGCCATATCTCTAAGGAGCTCCATGAGCCCCTCATTCTGCTACTTGCCAGAGCTTTTGAATATGTACATCTCCTACAGGATAGCAGCTTAGGGGCCGAGATGGCATGAGGGAACCAACCAGCAGAGTGCTTTCCATCCAAACACAGGGCTGGTCAAAAGTCTGTCTGGCAAAACTGTTTGACAGTGGAAAATTGGGTTTTCAACTCAATTAAGTTTTTTTTGCTAAAAAGTCTCTGCTCTCTGTGGAAAATTTTGATTTTTCATTAAAATACAGGGCACCCGAAATTCAGATGATTTCAGCTGAAAATCAAAATATTTCAATATTTTGATTAAAAATGGTTTGAAAAAAACTGCAATGCCTCATGGGAACTGTAGTTCAAGTGGTTCATGCTCACATTCTCCCCTGTAGGCAGGCCTTCCAGGTCAGATTACATCTTCCATGATACACCACTTTCTCCCCTCTTGCTGAGGGAAGCGGGTGCCTCATAGGGGGCTGCTGGCCATGGTGCATCATGGGAGATGAAGTCTGGCCAGACAGGTCTGCCTAACAGAGAATGGGAGCATAAGGTATCCAAACTACAACTCCCATGAGGCAGTGTGGTGCCATTTTCAATCAGAATGTTTTGTTTTTTGATAATGCACTGAAAAGCCAAAAATGAATAATAATAACGAATGCTCTTTGGCTAGTGAAGAGTTCATGGGACAGGCATTCTCCACAGGCCAAGGACATTCTTAATTAGCCAAAGAACATTTGTCACGTTCATTTACATGCTGTTCACTAGGTGCATGGACAATATCTAATCGTATGTAGATTAGTAGGTACATTTACAGAGGACGAGACAGTCCCCTTACAAGGAACCCTGGATAAGAGGCAGCCTAAGGAAGGAGTTTTGTGACCCTAACTTCTCTGATGTGAATTTCCATGTGACCTACTAGCAAGTCCTTACAGGCTGGGGACCGACTGGCTAAGTGGCAGTTTGGCAGAATAGGGCCTGGGGATTACAGTGGACGAGAAGCTGGATATGAGTCAGCATAGAAGAAGGCTAATGGCATATCGGGCTGCATTAGTAGGAGCATTGCCAGCAGATCGAGGGAAGTAATTATTCCCCTCTATTCGACACTGGTGAGGCCACATCTGGAGTATGGCATCCAGTTTTGGGCCTCCCGCTACAAAAAGGATGTGGACAAATTGGAGAGAGTCCAGCGGAAGGCAACAAAAATGATTAGGAGGCTGGGGCACATGATTATGAGGAGAGACTGAGGGAACTGGGCTTATTTAGTCTGCAGAAGAGAAGAGTGAGAGGGGGATTTGATAGCAGACTTCAACTACCTGAAGGGGGGTTCCAAAGAGGATGGAGCTAGGCTGTTCTCAGTGGTGGCAGATGACAGAACAAGGAACAGTGGTCTGAAGTTGCAGTGGGAGAGGTTTAGGTTGGATATTAGGAAACACTATTTCACTAGGAGGGTGGTGAAGCACTGGAATGGGTACCTAGAGAGGTGGTGGCATCTCCATCCTTTGAAGTTTTTAAGGCCCGGCTTGACAAAACCCTGGCTGGGATGATTTAGTTGGTGTTGGTCCTGCTTTGAGCAGGGGGTTGGACTAGATGACCTCCTGAGGTCCCTTCCAACCCTAATCTTCTATGAGTCTATTAAATATTAGATCTGGTCTGATGAATGCATCAGTAAAAAGCTATGATAGAACTGGTTGGAAAACAGGGATTTTTCCTGTGGAAAATTTTGGGTTTACCCTGTGCAGGACCGAGACACACTCTTGCAAGCAAGGTCAGATTAATCTTCAGAAATGGACAAAGCAGGACAAGTAGAGTGAGTGGCTGTGGGTGAGATCTTTCCAGGCCTCTGTGTTTATTCTACAGCTACCTCATGTAACTAGATGCACAGCCAGTATATTTATAGCCATGATGTCGTCCTTGGGACTGTCCTTTGACCTTAATAATCTGCTGAATTAATCATTGAAAGGGGGCCCAAGAAGTGATGATATACAAGCCTCTGACATGATTTATTCTTAGTCTTGTTGGAGGAGGTTGTTTAATAAGCTGATAGAGCCAAATCCTTCCTTGATGTATCTTTTTTGAAAGGTATGGAGTTACAGCAGGGATGACCTTGGCCCTTAGCTTTCATTTCAACACTGAGTTACATAGGAGAGGGGAGAAGGTGTTTACATTTGTCTCCAATGTGTTTTCTTTAAAGATAAATTAGCTTGGAGGAGTTCCAGTCTCACAGTTAATGCCTGCACACTGCTAAAATTCCCGTTTTACAGCAAAACAGCGGGTTCTTAAGAGCTAGAATAGAAGCTGCTGCTATAATTAAGCGAGAAATCTATTAGAAAAATCTAATTAGATTTTCTAACATCTATTAGAAAAATCCTTTTTCAGCAGATCATTGTTACTTTCTCATACACACACCTTTGGTGCTGAGATTGATCATGTCCAATCTCTGTACAGAGATGATGTTTTTTAAAAAATGTTCAGCAAAATCAATTTGTCCATTTTTGAATTCTATGTATCGGGGGTGGGGAGATACATTTTCCCCACATGATTCAATCCTTTGGGTGATCAGAACTCAACCATGCCTGTATTGCATTTGTTTAAGCACAGTGTGTTTTGCAGAGATTAAATGTATGCTTAAATCTACTGTTAAGGTTTAGCTGTCTTCAGAGGACCGTGGGGTGGGTTAGTTTTGGTGGATGGGCAGGTGTGAATAGATGAGAACTGAACTTGCAAGGACTTGACAAAATGGGTGAATGTTTTAGGAAGACTAAGGACTCGTGAAAACATTATGTTCACCATTGTGCCAAGCAAAAGACTCCCTGCTTTGTAGGAATGAGCACAGGTCTGGGACTTAGGTGGTCCCAAGTTCTAGTCTATTGTCAGGGACTTGTCACTTAAACATTCCTTAATTAGGCCTCCCAGCGTTCCTAGGCTGTATGCAAATATGGCTACCTACAGATGGGTAAACTGAGCCCAGAGAGGTTGGGTGATTTTCCCAAGGCAGGGGCGTAGCGACTGGAGGGAGACATGTCCCCCTCCAACATTTTACTATCCCGTTGATGGACAAGGTGGGTGAGGTAATATATTTTATTGGACCATCTTCTGTTGGTGAAAAAGACACGTTTTTGAGTTACACAGGACTCAAAAGCATGTCTCTTTCACCAGCAGAAGTTGGTCCAATAAAAGATATTACCTCATCCACCTTGTTTCTGTAATATCCTAGGACTAACACAGCTACAACAACACTGTAAATATCCTGTTGATGGTCATTTGTGGCCAATCTTGTCAGCTAACTTGATTCTTCCCAATCATGCCTGAACATGATAAAGTGCTATAATGAAGACAAGCCCCCACAGGAGAACTTGATAGAGCCATTCAAAGTTAAGAGTTTAGTACAAGACCCTGTCCCACTGACCAAAACCAAAAAGGCATGCCATGAAGTTAATGACCAGTAAATGCAGGCCACCTGTGAAACTCCCTGCCACTGGGGATCACAGAGTTAATCATCTGGATAATTTTCTGTCTGGTAATGATATTTCTAGGTTTGCATGTTAAGCTTAGTCAGAGCTCATGCATTAGACTGTAAGCTGATTGCAGCAGGGGACAGGGGAGAATTTCCATCTGTGCTGACACTACCATCAAATTCTGTACAGCACTGCAAAACTGACTATGTGCACAATGAGGCGTTTCCTTTTCAGTGTCAAGTATACAATTGTGATGGAGACAAGAAAGTGGATTTGATGGACTAATGGCGTGATCCAGCGATCCTCCTGGTGGTGCTATTCCTGGCTTTTAAATGATTTTCTTGTACTCCGCAGGGCCCTGGGAAAGCTGGCACTGAGTGTGCCCTCGACTGTGGTTCTGGGATTGGACGGGTCACTAAGCATGTCCTCTTGCCAGTTTTCAAGAGTGTGGAACTGGTGGATATGATGGAGAATTTCCTGGCTGAGGCCCAGAACTATTTACAGGGCAAGAAGGACAGAGTAAAGATGTACTATTGCTACAGCCTCCAGGAATTCACTCCAGCCCCCCAAAAATATGATGTCATCTGGATACAGTGGGTTTCAGGTTAGCTCACCATGAATTTATATATATAATGAACCATACATATATTGCATTAAAATACATGTTCAAAGAATGTTGAGGTTGCAGAGTCAGGTACTCAAAAGTTAGGAAATGCCTGAATTAAGGTTGCCAGGGCATGGGCACTGGCAGAGGTGGGGCATTGAGAACACAGGAAATACAGTTTCCTTGTTTTCAGTTCTAGTGCACCATTGCAGTCCCCAGCTGCCAGGAGGAGCAACTGCAGGAAAATACTGCTGCACCCCAGCAGCCCTGGAAAGGAGCATGCTCAGTCACTGTGGGTATGGCACATTGTAGTCTGGTCGTCATGTTTATTATGGTAGTGCCTAAGGACCAAGCAAAATGGAGCTCCATTGTGCTAGGTGCTGTACAAACACAATGCATTAGATCAGGGGTCGGCAACGTTTGGCACGCGGCTTGACAGGGTAAGCACCCTAGCGGGCCGGGCCTCTTTATTTACCTGCTGACGCGGCAGGTTCGGCCGATCGCGGCCCCCACTGGGAGGAGATGGCAAGAGGGTCTGTTTTGGAGTGAAGCCGAGTAGAAGAGCTTGGCTTGTTTAGCCTAACCAAAAGAAGGCTGAGGGGAGATATGATTGCTCTTTATAAATATATCAGAGGGATAAATATCAGGGAGGGAGAGGAATTATTTAAGCTTAGTACCAATGTGGACACAAGAACAAATGGATATAAACTGGACATTAGGAAGTTTAGACTTGAAATTAGACGAAGGTTTCTAACCATTAGAGGAGTGAAGTTCTGGAACAGTCTTCCAAGGGGAGTAGTGGGGGCAAAAGACATATCTGGCTTCAAGACTAAGCTTGATAAGTTTATGGAGGGGATGGTATGATGGGATAGCCAAATTTTGGCAATTAATTCATCTTTGATTATTAGCAGGTAATTAGTCCCAATGGTCTGTGATAGGATGTTAGATGGGGTGGGATCTGAATTGCTACAGAGAATTCTTTCCTGGGTGCTGGCTGGTGAGTCTTGCCCATATGCTCAGGGTTTAACTGATCGCCATATTTGGGGTCGGGAAGGAATTTTCCTCCAGGGCAGATTGGCAGAGGCCCTGGAGGTTTTTCACCTTCCTCTGCAGCGTGGGGCATGGGTCACTTGCTGGAGGATTCTCTGCACCTTGAGGTCTTTAAACCACGATTTGAGGACTTCAATAACTCAGACATAGGTTAGGGGTTTGTTACAGGAGTGGGTGGGTGAGATTCTGTGGCCTGCGTTGTGCAGGAGGTCAGACTAGAATCATTAGATGATCATAATGGTCCCTTCTGACCTTAAAGTCTATGGGTCTATAAGTCTAAGAGAAGAGACTGAGGCAGGAGGATCAGCCAATTGGAGCAGGGCAGAGAAAGAATGTCCAAAGGTCCCTGCTGTGGCTGCTTCTGTTTCTATAACAGGAGCTGCCTGAAGATGGAGCAGACTTGGTGCAGATGGACTCCGCAGAGAATTTAGCTGCCAAATTTCACGTTCCTGGAGGTATTAGGCTAGGCCCTCCTCAAGCGCCCTCACAAGGAAGGAAGGTGCCCTGCAGATGCCTGGCCTCAGTTTCCTTCCCAACTAGGGTGACCAGATGTCCCGGTTATATAGGGACAGTCCCAATATTTGGGGCTTTCTCTTATATAGGCGCCTATTACCTCCCACCCCCTGTCCCAGTTTTTCACACTTGCTCTCTAGTCACCCTACTACCAACACTCCTCCAACAGTCTCTTGGGCTGAGAACACCCTCGTCATGGAGTAATTTATCATTATACATGTCTCAAAGGCATATAGCAAGTCCCATATCGTAACTCCAAATACCTCTGGCTCTACTGCCTTTTGTCACTCACTTCTCCCTCAGTCCCCAATCTCCCTTTAAGGGGAGATTTCCTGGGCTTGTCCCTATCATCCCCTAATGGAGTTCAAAGACTCAAACAAAGCAACAATGCAAACAACAGCCACTCACCCTGGGGTTAGGGAAGGGCTTACACCCCATCTGGGTTCTTTCCTTGCTCTGTGTATGGGACTGAAACCACAGGGCCCTCTAGGCCTTCCTTCACCCCAGCACTCACAGAGATTGGCAGGTAATGTCCCCACTACTGCTCTGCAGGCCCTTGGCTTCCTTCAGCCTCTGTTCTCTCCCTCGTCCCTGCCCCTCCTTATACAGGACAATGGCCACAGGAGCACTCCCTGGGGCTCTGGAGTTCCTACCACCCAGGACCCCCTACTTCTGGCCTGTCACTCTCTCCTCCCTGGTTCTCAAGCCTCCTTATATGTCTTCTGACCCCAGGTGCTACCCTGCCCTCTAATCAGCCCTAGCTAGGGCACACCTATTTAGTCACAAGACTGAGGCCCTCTCCCTTAAAGGGGCTCATGCTATGGTGTGAATTCCATTAAAGGGGCCAGTTCAATTGGTGGTATAGTCAAGCACATAGCTGCCTTCCAACCAGTTGATCTGAGTTTGATTCCTCACCAATGCGGCAGTGTGGCTTTACCAAGGGTCATGGTGGATTCTCCATCACTGACCATTTTTACATCAAGACTGGATGTTTTTCTAATGGATCTGCTCTAGGAATTATTTTGGGGAAGGTCTCTGGCCTGGGTTATACAGAAGGTCAGACTAGATGACCACAATGGTCCCTTGTGGCTTTGGAATCTCTATGAATCTATGAAAAACCCTGTGACTCTGGTTCACAGCATGGGGGCACTAGAGCTTTGTAACTAAACATTTGTACATGTTTTTAAACATGGGGGGGGGGGGGGGGAATCAGATTTTCCCCTAAACTTGGTTTTGGAAACGGCTGAACCGTTTTTGCAGAAACTTAAAAAAAAAAAAAAATTCTTTATGAGGCAGACACATGACATGGACTATTTTAACCCAAATGGTTAAGTTTGGCAAAGTTTGAAGCAACTGAAAACAGGATCTTATAATGGAAACTCTTACGCTAGCTTAAGTATAGATGGCTCTATCAGCTGGACCTATGACACAAGTGATGGTGTTATTATCTTATCTGCAAATGCTGTAGAGTGAACCGTGCTTGCCAGGAAAAGAAGCCGTGGAGTCAGGCTTCTCAAATACCTGCTGTGTGTGAAATAAAGAGGCAGTAAGGTTGTCAAACTCTTTGGATCGTCCAGCTTCAAGTGCCCCTACTGGCAGCTGAGTGCAACAAGAAAATGGCAAATTCAAGGGTGTCCTTAACTGCTTACGGCCAAATCAAAAGCACAAGCCTGGGACATTAACATGCTAGCTACCATGTCCCATCCCAAATCTGAGCAAAGTTAAGAAATTAAAGCTGTAGGGAGAACAATGTGGCTCATGGGGCAGGGAATCTAGATCCACTTCATTCTAAATGGGAACATGGCATGACTGTGAGCCTTTTAATGAGAAGTTTTGCTAAATGAAACAAAATGAAATAGGTTTAATCACATTGATTCATGTTTATGGAATGGGAAGTGACCTGTTTCAGGTCATCTCATACACTTGATGGTTGGGTGATTTCAGTGCATTTGGTGTACCCTTGCGTGTGCACAATTAACTCTTTAAAAACACCTGCAATGACATGTTGACCCAACGGCCTGCTCCCAAGCCATAACATCTGAGAGGCTAAGGCCTCGTCTACACTAGAAAAGGTTTGGTGGCATTGCTATACCAAACTTTCCTAGTGTAGATTCAGCTTATACCAGCAAAAGAGTGATGGTATAAGGAAGAAAACCCGGTGTCCTATGAGTCTGTCTCCTGCTCTCATCCTGGGAAACACTTCTATTAGTTACTTTGCCTCAAATAAGTGGAGTATAAATAAGCTGATGAAGTCAAGATCCAGCTGAGATGAGTCCAATCAGATGGCACTGGAATGGTGAACCACAACCCATTTCTGTCTCTTCACCTGTAGGATACCTGACGGATAAAGATCTCCTGGAGTTTCTTATCCGGTGTCAAAATGGCTTGAAGGATAATGGCATTGTCATTCTCAAGGACAATGTGGCCCGGGAAGGCTGTATCATGGACCCATTGGACAGCAGCGTGATCCGAGATCTGAGCATCCTCCAGAGCCTCGTTGAGAAAAGTGGACTCACCATCCTGCAGCAGGAGAGGCAGGAGGGCTTCCCTGAGCAGTGTGTCCCCGTCTGGATGTTGGCCATGCAAAAGGACCCTGGCCTACCCTGAAAGGGGTTGTGTGTGGATATGAAGCCCCTGAAACATGACTGATGCTCAGGACTTGCAATGAGAGGAAGAAGAGAAAATGTCTGCTAAAATCCCACTATTAGCGTAGCTCTACTACTACAGCTACAGGGCTCTGCCCCCCCGAATGATCATGAGAGTAACTGCACCCGAACCAGGGCATGCCAGGAACTACCCTGTTCCCAAAACCAGGCTGCCTCGTCTTCACATCTTCTCCTAATAGGCCTCCTCTCTGTGAGATTTCTATTTTGTTAAAGGGATAAAACTCATCTGTGAGAAAATAATTAGGCTAAAGCTTTCCAAAGTGACATGAGAGTCTCAGATTTTGGGTGCCGCATTTGAGATGCCATAATGAAGCCTGTTTTTTTCAGAGGATGGATGCTCAGCAATTCCTGGAAATCAGGGCCCCTTTAGAAGATTCAAGTTGGACATATACATTACTTCTCTTCTGAAAATCTCAGTTTAACTTCATTTCTGTGTGGCTAATAATACCATAGATTATTGGAACTGAAAATGTCAGGCGTGTCTAATCTATTTACTGTCAGTTATGCTGTTTGTTTATTTATTTATTTATTTTTGCATTTCACTCAGTTTGGATGGTGAAACTAATCTGGTCAATTTCATACTTTTAAGTCAATTTCACTTCCTTCTTCCCTTGCCCTAGAAGGATGCTGTTATATTAGGATTCTCAACACTTCTGGGGAAAGTGTCAATGACAAAGATCTACATTGTAAAAAGCTGTTTGCATTGAAAACTTTGCAAAATGGTTTCTACGTGTATTAAGTTGTGGAAAACTTTTGTTCTAAAACCAAAAGCTACATTCACAGCAGAAACTGCTTGGGTTACATACAACCATGAGGTCCTTTCTTTCCCACTGTTGCGGGTTTCACTGAGAGGCCGGCAGGCCTAGTAGGCAGGTCGTGGCCTGTCAATTTCTCGGTGCCCCCAAAGTTCACCCACATGTACTGGGTTGGTATGTAGGGGGACCCAGCCCACCATCTCCATCAGGTCCCAGCCCAGGGCCCATGGGGGAGAGGTGTGGAACATGTTGGTCACCTCTTCCTGCTGCACTTGACTAGTCTCCCTTGGGATGCTTCCTACCTCCCTGCTCTCTGTCTGGTTTGGCATGTAGGCACAGCCCACTTTCTCCCCAGTGGGGGTTCCCAGTCAGTGAACTAAGCACTTTGCAGCTCTCTTGGTAGTGTCCAATTATTCTCCCTCTGCAGAGAGTGGGGGAAGCCTCTACCCTCCTGGTTGAGTCTAAGCCACAGTCCAGTCCCTCTCCCGTGGATCACTTTGTCCCTAGAAGCTTCAAATTTTCTTCCTCCCTTTGAACAGCCTCCCTGCTTGACTATCCGAGTCCCCTTTTGAGCAGGGACAGGGTCCACTTGGCCCAGTACTGCTCCATCAGTCTCTGTGGGAGGGTGTCTCTAAATCCCATCACACCCATATTCAAAACAAGTCTGACATGATATGCAGGGCTAATTGCATTTCAAGGGGTGTTAACAGTGAGGCTAAGGGATATTACTAGTACAATATTGAATTAATTAACTGTACTAAGCTACGGAGGATGTTACTTTAACCCAAAGGCATCTATGATTTATATTTAAACAGCTTGGGTTTGACATTACTAGTAATCATATATCCCCTCGCCTCTGTGCTATCCAGAGATTATACACAGAATAGCTTCTTGTTTCACTTACACATGCACAAGGAGAGCTGTGTGGAGGACAGAAGTTCCAGTTCATGAAGGATTTTGAATTTTCAAAATTTGGCTTCATTACGAATCGGAGTGAAAACTGAACATTTCAAAATTCTCTGCAAAAGAAAATTCCTGGGAGAAAATAATTGGTGCAGGTTGATCAAAACATTTCATTTTGACAAAACATTTTGTTTTGATTTTGACTTTTATTATAATAGTGAATATAAAAATTTCAAAGTGCAAAGTCATTTCAAAAACAAAAATCAAAAATTTTGTTTACCTGGTTTTCTTCCAAAATGAAATTCCTGCAAAATCAGCCTGATTTCATGAAGTTTTTCAATTTTGATGGCACTGCATTGTCCGACAGACTGTGGGGTCTCTGTCAAATATTATCAAAAGTCAGATTAACCCCATATAGGGCTCTGGAGCCAGCGGGTTTAGCAAAACTCCTTTGGGTGTGTGTCTGTTCAGTTGTATTTTTAAGGAAAAGCACCTTGTGTCATTCTTCCATAATAACCCCCCGGATCTTATTTAATTGCATAACTCAACGGTTCTAGAAATATAATCACCTTTGTGTGTGAACTCATCTGTTTGTACAAGATGGCTTCTTACATTAGTCCTTAAGCTGTAGTTGTGTGCTCTGTGCCCTCCTGCTATTTCTGGCATTAAGGGACACACAGCCCTGGTGCTTCGGTGAACATTCTGGAATATCATATGACACAACTGCTTGTAGATCACTTGGCGCTTCTAGATCACAGTGCCACATGACACAGCTGCTTCTAGAATGTGTTGGTAAATTCTTCCATTTTAGTAATTTGGTGGCAGAGGATTAAATTAGAGAAGTAGAGAATGTTCTAGAAAAACAGAGTTGAATAGTCAAAGTCTGGAAATTTTGCCCTGAGAGCTAAGAGGGTCTTAGTGATCTTTTCATTCTCACAAGACTGCTAACAAATGCACCACCTGTGGTAGTGGTTGGTTAGACATAGAGATATATGTAGCATCCTCACTGTTCTCCATCAGGTGATGGTCCCTATGTGTATGCCACTATGGGTGAGCATGCACTCCATGTGCCTGCGACTGGAAAATTTTTACTAGCTGTGTTCAGTGTGTCCTGGGTTGCCTCATGTGCCAAGCCAAGGGCAAAAGGTGAGGCACAAATCACCTGCCTCTCCAGTTCCTTCTACTGATCATGGCAGCTTTGCTAGTGTTCCCACTTAGATTCTAGCCTTTCCCATAAATAGTTTACCTTTAGGTAGTTTAGAAGCATTTTGGTGCCTGGGAGTGCTCCCCACTCTGTTACCTCCCCACCTCCATATGGGGTTCTTGGTAAGCCTAAAATCCCTGGCTTCAAATCCTCTGTGGACTGCCCCCAGGTCTTCCCGGTGAGTGATCCTCACAACTCGTGCTTATATTGCCTTGGAGAATCTCACGTTCCCTCCAAGTGCAATGTTTGCTGTTTGTTTCTACCTCAAACCCGGCAGTGCTGAGAGCTCCGGCTCTAAAGACACCTAATGGAGCTGCTGATGAGGCCCCAGTCTGACCGTGGGTCGTCTGACCCCCTCTACATCAGCAGGAGGTACCTAGCAGTGCTCTTCCTGACAAGAAGCTCTTGAGCGCCAACTGTCAAAGACCAGGCCTAAGGACTAAGGAGGAGGGTAAAAACAAACATGCCTGTAAGAAATGGGAGACATCCTCTTCCAAGGCCTCTGAGAAGAGGATTGCCTCCTTCCACCTTCTAAATCAGGTGACACTTTGCACTCTGGGATGGGTGTGTCAGGACCAAAGGAGGAGCCTGGGTCAAAACCACCTGTACTGAGGGCCAAGAGCACCTGAAACATCCAGCTGTGGAAGGGGAGGGGCAGGCCCACGCCAGCAAAAAAGAAAAGAGAGAGATCACCGGCTGCATCCACGGTACTGCACTACAGCGGGAAGGAGGACTTGGCGGTACCGACATTCACTGCCTGACCAAAACTGGCACTGTTGGCTCCACCAAAGAGGCAGAGGTCCCACCCGCTCCCCACCAGCTAGATCTGGGTACACTGCCCTGGAGACCCTGGCTCTTTATTCAGAGTCGCTGAGAGTTGAGGAACTAGTGGTCCCTAGGGAGATACCCATACTGTCGATGCACCATTCACCAGTGCCACCGTCAGCGAAGGTATCACAAGGCATACGGCACCAACAGCTCCGCCAGTGGAATCTGAACTTAGGGTCATGTTCCATTTTGGGTCTGGGGTCTTCATCCCACCCCTTTTGTACCCCATGGGAGGGGTAAGGAGTGAGGTTGTGCTGCAGTCAGGGATGGGCATTTCTTTGGTCTTTTAGTGTTTTATACCTTCCCCCCCAAACCCCTTTGCCCCTCCCGACTGGTTGCTTGACTTTGCCTTGAGATAGGGGTTAAGGCAGTCTTAAAGTGTGCTCTCGAGTAACACTTTAACTGCTCTTATCTGTTCCCATTGTACTAACAAATCCAGTGGACTAGGCAGAAGCAACATCACAGTGTCTTTGTCCTTTGTTTACACATATTAGTATAAGAGTATCAAAAAGTCAAACCCAAAATTCTATCCCAGGCTAAGAAACAGACCTATCTACTAACATAAAGTAAGACATCATTATCTGTGAAATACATTTCTTTTTGGTAAAAATGTCTTTTGTGTGTTTTGTACTTGATTTTTCTCTGAATTTCCAGAATACACACACAAACACACCCACTTCCAGATCTTCATAGAGATGTATTTTCCCAGTTAATCGAAATGACCAAATCTTAATGTCATAGAAAAGGGCACATTTTGTGATTCTCACATCCTCAGAAATTCATGTGTCATGCTTGTTTTGCTTCCACAGTAAAATATCAAGGATTCTCTGGTGACATAATGAACCACAAGAGCAGAGATTCAACAACATTTTAGCAGATTCAATAACATTTTAGCTTCCTTCTTTTCTAAGGTGTATTTTAATTAAAGTAGTTAGCTAATGTGTGCCACTCTCTAGGGCACCTAAAAAATCTTAATGATTTTGGGACAGAGAACATCTCTGTCAGAGGTTTGCACAACACCTAGCACAAAAGGCAGGGTCTCTTGGCTCTATCACACCAATAATAATTAATAATGAATAGTACCTTAATTTAAAATTGCAGCAGACCTTGCTTGGATAACCCTCTATGTAAGATCAATTGCTCTTTTGTGTTCAAAGGCTGATTCACAGACTCAGTTAAGCACTAACTTTTGTTACTCTTTCTCAACTCCTGTATTACTTAAGTTGTAAAACATTCATCTAGTGGTGTCAT